CTCAGCACAATCCAAAGTTCTTTCATTCTTCCCTATCCCCCCACCATCACCACTATGAATCAGCATTCACTTATCAGAGAAAACATTGGACTTTGTTTTTTGGGGACTGGCTTTTTTAGGATTCAGCATGATGTTTCCTAGTTCTAGCCATTTACCTGAAAATGCCATAATTTCAAAAAATGATAAGTTTTATATTAGTATATAATACTGGATTTTTAAAAAAAAAAAAAAAATAAGAAACAAAAACCAAAGACAACTACATAGGGGAGGGAGGAATACTACAAACATAATAATTGAGTTAATGAAATAAAAACTAAAGAAACCTGTTTCTCCTATACTGTCACTTAACAATCAACACAAAATCTGTGACCAAATGTCTGGTGGAATCAGGGTTCCACACACCATTGGCAACCCTCTGATTCAGTGTACTATATACCCAGAGATAGCATCAGATCTCATAGGTCAAGGGGAGACTCAGTCCCCAAAACTGCCACCCACCACTTTAGATGCCAATAACAAGCTGTATGGGGCTGGGGATGTGGCTCAAGCGGTAGCGTGCTCGCCTGGAATGCGTGCGGCCCGGGTTCGATCCTCAGCACCACATACAAACAAAGATGTTGTGTCCGCCGAAAAACTAAAAAATAAATATTAAAATTCTCTCTCTCTTTAAAAAAAAAAAAAACAAGCTGTAGGTTTGACTTACTTGTACATCTGACTGACTAGCTATAAATTGTAGTTGCCACCATCCCCTCCTCAGGTGTGACTAATTTTCTAGAGAAACTCACAGATCTCAAGACAACACTTTACTTACATTTATCAGTTTATTCTGAAGAATATTACAAAACATACAGATGAAGGGTTGCACAGGGCAAGGCATGCAGAAAGAGCATAGAGATTCCACACTGGCACTGGAGTGGCAAACCCAGAAGGTCTATAGATCCTTTGGGGGTTTTATGAAATCTTCATTAAGTAGTTGTGACTGATTAAATTACTGACCATTGCTGATCAACTTAACCTTCATCCCTCTTTCCCCTCTCAAGATGGGGGAGAATGGGGCTGAAAAGTCTAAAGATGCCTTGGTCTTTCCAGTGACCAGCACCACCCTGAAGCTACCCCTAGGGACTTCCAACCACTAGTCAACTCCTTAGTGTATCAAAAAAAAAAAAAAAAAATCTTTTGGAAGATTCCATGAGGTGTATGCCAAGAAAACAAAGATCCAAACACATATATTTCATAATATAACAATAATCAACTGCAAAACAAAAAAAAAATTAAATATAATAGCAAAAAAAGAAAAAAGAAAGAAAGAAATATTACTTGGGAGGCTGAGGCAGGAGGACTGCAAGTTCAAAGCCAGCCTCAGCAACTTAGCAAAACCCTGTTTCAAAATAAAAGGGCTGAAAATGGTAAAGCACCCCTGGGTTAAATCCCCAGTACAAAGGTAAAAAAGGGTAAAATCAAAAGATTTAAAGAACCTAAATGATTCTGTTTTGTTTTTTTTATTTTAAAGATAGTCTTGCTTATATGCCCAGGCTGGCCTCAAACTCACAATCTTCTTACAGACTTGCACCATCTCAACCAGCTAAGTGATTATTAACAACTAGTAAAATTAATGATGACAAAGACAAAGAAATACAATGAAGGTTTGGAAACAATGAAGAAACTGGAAATATGAGAATATGGAACAATCTCATATACAAATTTAGTTCAAACAACATGGTACAAAACAATGGATAAACAAATATATAAACACTATCTCTGGATAAATACCCAAGAAAAGAACAGAGGTTGGTCTCTAGGACACAGAACTGTGTGGATGAACCAGAGGGAAGGTAAGTCTTCCTCACAAGGTTTCACTGAATTTAGATTAATCTGGAGAAAAAAAATTAATGATTTTACATTATTACTGCCTTTCCATTCATACACATGCATATCCTTTCATTCAGGTTTTCTTGTATCCCCTACAGTACTGTTTTATAGTTTCCTTCCATAAAGTCTTACATATTTCTTATAATTATTTCTATTTCTTGGAATACTGAAATGAATTTTCCCCATTACATTAAAAATGTTAACATAACAAACATATACCATAAGGAAGGTTTAAAAACATGAAAACTGAGAAGGGAGGGGGACGAAAAACCAGAGGTACTGAGGAATTAAATCAACCAAATTATGCTATGTGTATGTATAACTATATCATAATGAATTTCACTTTTATGTATAATACACTAAGGAAGGAGGAGGAAAAGGGAAAGTTCCAAGGAAATAAAATGGAGCAAATTATGTTATATCCATGTATAAAAACGTTGCAATGAACCCCACTACTATGTATAATTATAATGCACTAACATAATAGAAAACACAAACTGAAAAAATGTTTTCGTAATAAATATAACAAAGAATTGATGAACATATTTTAATAAAACACATTATTAAATCAGGAAAAAATTAGCTATTTGATGATATGCAGTGTTGGGAAGAATGTGAAGAAACTGATGAACATTCAAAATTAATATGCATATACTGACTTAGCAATTCCTACTTTCAGAATCTTCCTTAGAGAACATGCACATGACTCAAAAGAAATAAGTATACTTCTTGCAGCTTTGTAAGATATAACAAGTGGGAAAAAATAAACAAGTTGCATAAAAATATGTATGGTATACATGTTTTAAATTCTACACACTAGGGGCTGGAGTTATAGCTCAGTGGAGAGCACTTGCCCAGCATGTGTGAGGCACTATGTTTGATTCTCAGCACCACTTATAAATTAATTAAGTAAATTTCCATCAACACCTAAAAAAAAAATTTAAAAACCATATATACACACAAAATTACTACATATTAATACATGAAGGAAAAATGACTTGAAATACTAAACACTAACATGATAATCTCTGAACAGTGGGGAAAAGGATCAGTGGACCAATAATAGTACAAACAGATTATGCCCTCACACTGCTTACGATATAACCACAAACCTTTTTTCCAGTTGTAGGTGGACATATTTATTTATTTTTATGTGGTGCTGAGGATCAAACCCAGTGCCTCACACAGGCCAGGCAAGCACTCTACCACTGAGCTACAACCGCCACAAACTTTTTTTTAAAACATATCTTTAAGAGATAACTAAAACAAGCCAGGCGCAGTAGTGCATGCCTATAATCCCAACAGCCTGGGAGGCTGAGGCAGGAGGATGAGAGTTCAAAACCAGCCTCAGCAACAGCAAGGCACTAAGTAACTCAGTAAGACCCTGTTTCTAAATAAAATACAAAATAGGGCTGAGATGTGGCTCAGTGGTTGAGTGCCCCTGAATTCAATCCCCCATACCCTCCTCCAAAAAAAGATAACTAAAACAATCCTACTCAGGCTTTAGAAGCAAATAATAATCATTTAATTCATGTACACTTAGCTAAAATCCACACAAGGGTTATGAAAGAATCTGTAAAAAAAACTCTTTGATCTAAAAAGTCAATCAATTTATTCAGGTATCACTAAGTCATAGACTTAGTGATATTAATATCTTAAATAACCCTGACTCCTTAATTTACCCCAAAATATTTCGAGCTCCAAACTTCCTATTCCCTCTATTTTTTCATTAACTCGATCTCTTGCCCTGTATCTTCACCTATACCATTTTTTGACATTTCAGAAAATTATATGTCTAGCTCCCCGTACCAAAAATCTGAAGATCATTCTTAATTTCCTCTCCTTTCTTCAACTTCAGCTCACCAACACCAAGTACTATCTGACCTCCAAAATAAATCTCGAAACTATCCACTTTTACCCATCTCCTACTAATACCTCTTTTCATTGGAGAGCCATCATTTTTCTGTTGGATTACTGACATTACCTTCTATATTCCCCAGACTATCTAAAAGACTTTTTTTTTTATTATATCAGACTACATCATTCACTTTCTACATGGCTTTACAGTGCATGTAGGAGAAAACCTGTAATTCTTCTCCAAGTGTTAAGACTTCTATTTGATCCCTACCTACAATCCAGGCTCACTTTCAGCACTCTTCTTCCTCACCTTGTTTTTATTAAGCTTAGCTAAACTATTCTTTCTTTTGAATTGTTGATGGATCAAAGTTCCTCCCATTATCAGGACCTTTAAACTTCTTCTGTCTGAAAGGCTCCTTTCCTCATTTCTCTAAGTCTCAGCTTAAATGTCATTCTCAAATATCTGTGTCAAATACTCCATCTACTGATAAAATCTGATCTCCTCATTACACTCTCACATTATCATACATATTTCCTCAGCTGCACTTAACCTAATTTGTAATACACTTACTTATTTATAATCTGTATTCCCCATTAGATAGCATGCTCCATAAAGACAAAGACCTGTATTCTCATTGCCCTCATTACGGCACTAATGTAGTGTTTAGCCAATATTTACTAAATGACTATTTTTTCCATAAAAGAGATAACAACCATTTAAGGTAGAGTTTTTATTGTTCTTTGTTTTTCAGAGTTTATTGTTGTTGTTTTGGTTTGAAGTTAAGTCCTCCCTTAATCCCACTGAACTCTCTTTTCCTTCCTCTTGGTTATAAGATAAGCACTTCACCCCAGAGCCTCAGTTTTCCCATTATAAAAGAGGAAATTAGAATAATTTCCTTAAAAGATAAGCTAAATTAAAAATATCTGTATCCTATGTCTTTGGCCATGATTTTTTATTATTTCTCTATAAATCTACATAATTGTAGTTAGTACATGTAGTTAATCCATGGTAAAAGGTTATTATTATACCCTGTCCATTTGTTCCCCTCAATCCAACACGTTAAACCCACATTGAACTCTCCAAACATAGTTTAGAAACTACAAGTAATTTCAACTTGTTAATTTGGAAATAAACCATCAAAACATTTATTTATTCTTAAGATCATTTGGTATTACAAATCCATATTCTGTTTTTTTATTACAATTTTCCCTGATGTTTAATTAAACATGATGGTGTTGAGGGCTTAAAAAAAAAAAAAAAAAAAAAACTTTACCTTCTTTATGTGACTTCGAATGTTCCATGATTAAGACCTCATCTAACCTAAGGAAACAACAATACTTGCATCAATAAGCAAATGAGATCACAGATTTAAAAAGGCTAGGCTTTCGTATACTAAAAATCTATTTCTCCAACACAAATTACTTCTCCAATACAGATTACTATTATGTAAAAATCTATTGCCTCTGATTCATAAGACTAAAACAGTTTTTGCCAGCATTTGTTCCTCAAGTCACATTCTTCAGATATTTCACTGCTTTTAAAAATCAAAGAAATACAAACAGAATATAAACTAAACCAAAGAAAATAACTTTTCCTTTAATAAACAAATTTCAGTATAGAAACAATCCTACTTATTATTTACAATTCAATGCAGTTTGTTTAATTATCCAGTAAATACTTAAAGCTCTTTAAAATGAACTTGAAGCAGACAGTTAAGTCATTTTTCACTTACCCCTTTTATTCAATCTCTTCATGTCTTGAGTTTTACTTTTCAAGAGTTTAATGACAAGTCATAACAACTACCATTTATAAAAGATATGCTTGATACCAATCTCATTACAACTACCTTGAAATACATGTTGTAAGTGCTAATTATATTATTATTATTATTATTATTATCCTATTATGCAAGTGAATAAATTATTCTCTATAATAAAGTAAATCTCCTAGGGTACACAGCTCTCAAGTGGCAAACTCAAAATTTGTACCTAAACTCCACGTTCTTTCACTAAACCACATTATCTCCTAATCAAATAGAATTGAAACTTGAGAGCTACTCTAACATAGCGGTCATTTTAAAACTGAACCATCAGTTGAAAATGTTTGTAACATGAAGGGAAGGCAATGATTACAAGAATGCAAGACCGTGTCATATGTTATCAAATGTTGATAGTTGACAGTATATATGAAAAATATTAGTACAATGAACATGGAAAAACACCAAAGAATATATTTAAAAATCTTAAACACAGGTCTCAAGAAGAATGGGATTATGCGGGAACTTACATTTTCTGTCATATACTCCTTTTACTATTTCAGAATTTTTAAAGGTGTTTTATTTTTATAACCAAAATATCAAGAACTGTCCTTTTTATGTGGATATAATTGCTCATTTATGCATACTGATTGTTATACTTCATTGTTTGGGGGGTTTTGTTGTTTTTTTGCAGTGTCAGGGATTGAGCCAAGGGCCTCCTGCATGCTAGGCAAGCACTCCACCCCAGAGTCATATTCCCAGCCCCACTTTGTTGTTCATATTCATTCATTCATCTACATGATTCTCTCTCCAAAATGGGCCTACCTACCTCCCCCCCAACCACTTCCTAACAGAGTTCTCTTTTCTTTCCTTTGGTGCTAGTGATTGAATCCAGAGCCTTGCAAATGCTAGGCAAGCACTCTTCCACTAAACTTTGTTACCAGCCCAGATTTCTTTTTTTTTTTTTTTTTTGTACCAGGGATTGAACTCAGGGGCACTTGGCCACTGAGCCACATCCCCAGCCCTATTTTGTATTTTTTTATTACAGAGACAGGGTCTCAACTGTGTTGCTGATCACCTCGCTTTTTGCTGAGTCTGGCTTTGAACTTGAGATCTTCCTGCCTCAGCCTCCTGAGCTACTGGGATTATAGGTGTACACACCCAGCTAGAATTTCTTCTTTTTAATGGTTTTAAAGTTGAAGCTGTACGTATTTTGTTTCACTTGCCAACACAAATCCCTCAACTTCTTCCAAATAAGTAATGTAATAAGAATGGACTTTAGGAAAAATTAATCTGGACTAGAAGAAGAATAGGAAGAAATTATGTTGTAAATAAATTCCTTGTTTTCTAATACAATGGATTACAAAGTTCAAGAGGAGAGAGCTAAGAAATAAAGGCATTAACAACATTTGAGAATATAATGAAGTGAAGGGAATGGTCAGAAGTATGAGATTACATTAAAATTCAAAGTTCTAGAAGTCAAAAGAATTTAAACATTAAACTTCAAATTTGAATGTTAAATCTAAAACATTAAATTTCAAATGTTACAGAATTAAGACCAAAATGCAATAACTAAAGATCTAGCAATTAGGTCACTAATGACTTCAAAAGAGTAGATTTGGTATATGTTGAGGGCGCAAATCTGAGAATGGATTTCTTTCAAATAGTATGGGGAAAAGAAATTTTTTTGTTGTCGTTTATTTGGTGCTGGGGACTGAACCCAAGGCCTTGTGCATTCTAGCCAAGCACTCTACCAACTGAGCTATATATCCCCAGCCCTAAGAAGAAATTTTTAAAAAAGGAAGAGGAAGATATCTAAGTTTGAAAAGGATGCAGAAATTTTGAAGGACAACACTTAACCATACATTCAGACTATAATAAAGGAGCAAGCAGAGGGAAGTTGGAGAAGATGTAAATCATTCTAGAAACTACCAATAGAGACACTGTAAATTTACTGCATCAGAGATACTGTAAATTTACTGCATCAGTGGTGGCAACAAATTCATGATATTTGGTTAATTGTAGCCGCTATTAATTGAGTATTACTGATTAGTCACCTACTACATTGTTTTCCAGTTCTGGGGACAGAACGCAAGGCAAGCACCGTACCACTCACTGAGCTACATCCCTAGCTCCCCATACTATTTTTATCCTTACCTCAGCAATCTCAGGAAAAAAGGCATTACTCTATTCATTTTCCAAATGAGTCAACTGAAGCTCAGAGGTTAAATGACTTGCCTAAAATTACCAACTGGTGTTAAGAGTAAAATTGCTTTTTAATAGTTTTATTGAGGCATACTTTACATTGAGTAAACTTTATTTAAGAGAACTTTGTGGGGCAGGGGGTGTAGTTCAGCGGTAGAGCTCTCACTCGCCTAGCATGTGACAGACACTGGGTTTGATCCTCAGCACCACATAAAACTAAATAAATAAAATAAAGGTATTATGTCCAACTACAACTAAAAAAATTAAAGAGAGAGAGAGAGAACTTTGATAAATTTTAGTATATATACACTTATAGGCCCATCACCTCAATCCAGTTCAGAACACTCCCATCACCCCAAAACCCCTTCATAAGCAGGGCATATTTTATCTTGAATCTGTCTAACTCCAAACAAGTCATGCTACAAATCTCTTAGGCAATATTCAGGCTTTTTTTTTTTTAAAAAAAAAAAAAAAAAAAAAGATTTCTTTTTTAGGCAGAAAAACTACAAAAAAAAAAAAAAGTTGTAAAAGTTGTTAGCCTTCCAATCTTCTTAGGCCTCACTAGTTCCCTTTCCACATGAAAGGGAACATGTCTCTAGAATCCTATTGTCATCCCATGATCTCATAGACTCACAAAATTTACTAAAATTCACAAATATTCTCTTTCTAAAAGCACAGCATAATCAGATTTAAGAATTTAGATACTAAGCACCAGGAGCAGTTGTGCAAGCCTATAATCCCAGCAACCAGGAAGACAGAGGAAGGAGGGTCTTGAGTTCAAAGTCAGCCTCAGCAACAGCAAGGCGCTAAGCAACTCAGTGAGACCCTGTCTCCAAACAAAATACAAAATAGGGCTGGAGATGTGGTTCAGTGGTCAAGTGCCCCTGAGTTCAAATCCCCAATATCCCCACCACAAAAAAAAAAAAAAAAAAAAAAAAAAAAATTCGATGCTATTATACCTGTATTCTTTTTTTTAAATGGTAAGGAAGTTATGAAAGAGAAAGGTAAATGAAACTTGAAGTCCAGAAGAAAAGCAAGATGAACACAGCTGGGTAAGACCATTTGAGATGAAAAATGTGACATACTAATAGATAAATCATAGAATTAAAAAATCAGGAGTTTGTTTCATGGGGGATACACTAACCAAGCAGAGCTTTTCTTCTATAAGAAATGTAAAACTGTCTGGAGACACAGGGTAGAGTAACTTCATAGGCAATAGTTAATACTTGTTTGTTAACTGGACTATATATTAAAACAAACAAGTTAAAAAACAAAGTGCAACAATACTCATACAATCAAAGGTACTTAGCTAAAGTTAGATATTTTATAGTAATGAAGTTATGTAAATTTTTAAAATGGCAAATTTTTCATTACATCAAAATCAAACACTGGGGCTGGGGCTATAGCTCAGTGGTAGAGCACTTGCCTAGCACATGTGAGGCACTGGGTTCAATCCTCAGCACCACATAGAAATAAATAAATAAAGGTACTGTGTGTATCTACAACTTTTTTTTTTTAATTTTTTTTAAATCAAACATTAAATCATGAACATATAAGAATTGAGATCTAAGATGAATAGCCTTTATCTGAAATGCTTGAGACCTGAACTGTTCTAGACTTTGGATTATTTAATGTTTGCATATACATAATGAGATAACTTGGGAATGGGATCTAAATCTAAACATAAAATTCATTCATTTCATATACACCTTTATAAACATACCCTGTGTGTAACTTTACACAATATTTTTAGCACACCTATGTTTTGACTTCAACCTATTGCAGGAGGTCAGATATGGAATTTTCCACTTGTAGTAGCATCATCTCTGGGCTCAAAAAGTTTCACAATTTGGAGCATTTTGGATTTCAGACTTTCAGATCAGGGAAATTCAACCTGAACCATTTTGGGACTAGAAACAATTAAAATAATTTAATTAAAATAATACCCATTCAAGCCTTTACTTATAAGTCCTAAAGAACTAGAAACACAGTTACCAATCTGATAATCATTAAGCTTAGCCAAAAACTTAGAAATTCCAAATAGGGTCCTAGAGCATAGCATCAGAAATCTAGATGACAGAATCTAGAAGCAAAGAATCAAAGAAACTGCTAGCTTACTGTTAACAGAATACAACTTTTATGACTATTTAACATATAGGTGTTCTAATACCCAACTTGTTAAATAAGTGATTTCTATAACACTTTGATTATTACTCTGAACCATCTGGCCCAGCTAAACACTGCAAGGAACACTGCTCTTAGTAGGCAAAAGACATGCCTCTTTGAAGCAAATGAATATAAAACTATCCCAGTATCTTTTTTAATGTTTTTAAATTAAACCAAAATTTACTTCCAAATTCTTACACTATTTCAATCAAAGTTTGGGGTGACTATAAGCAAAAGTCATACACATGTGCATTTCCATAAACCAAAAAGACTGAAGAGTTTGTCACACTTTATTATAATCGCAAGTTAAAGAGTATTCTGTCTTTAAGCTCTGTGTATCACAATTTTACTTAAATTAGCTACTTATTTTTCTTATCCAACCTAAATGTATGGTTAGAAAATAACTAGTTGGAAAGTAATTACAACAGATTTTCCCAACTTCTATAATTTGAAGTTGTAACAATTAATTCTATTATTAGTAAATTCATCTTAAAACTTATAATTTAGTGTGACTTTTTTTTCAACTTAACATTGCTTTTAAAATCAACATCAAATTTAAATATTCAATAATTTAATCCATTATGTTGCATCATTTTATATATAAGACACCTATTAAAACAAGTTGAGCAATTTTATAGGTGTCCTATAAAATCTTACAGGTTTTTGTGTGCCACATATATACAGGACAATGGGGCAAAATGGGTTAATGATAAAATCTTTTCAAACCCCTCAGACTAACTTATTAATTCACAAAAACAAATCCAATCTTCAAATTCACTAAGGAGAAAAAAAAATCTAAAACCCTGTGGACAAATAAAAGAGAACCTGGTGCTTGGTAGCCAAATGATATTAAAGAAGATGATCCAAACTCTCTTGACAATAACATGGTACTGTTTCAAGCATAAAAACAAGATAACCTGTACTATGAAACATAAATATGCATTTTAAAAAAGAAGACCTATTAAATAAATATTCATTACCTATTTCTCCTAATATCCAAAGTTTTCTCTTAAGTCATTTCTTTAAAGAGCAAACACTAATATTTAGAGAACATTGATCAAATCAGTAAAAATACCAACAGTCATGCACTTTTTCAAATTAAACACCATAATTCTTCCCATTAAAAATAAAACAGAAAAAAAAGGACAAATCCCAATCTAGTCCTGTGATTTTGATAACTAATCACTATCGCAACTCTAAAATAGTTTTTTCAATAGTTTACAAATATTCTGCAATTTCAGAAATGCTCCAAGTATTGTATTAAACTCCATTAAAAAATTGATATATTTTAGAATAAAACAATATATTCAAATGCATGGTAATCCAAATTTTAACACACCTTAATTATGAAGACTAATTCATCATGTTACCAAGTATTTGGTGCCCCTAAAGATCTTCTCCTATTTTAGTGAATTAAAAAAAAAAATTAAAAAAAAAAAAAAAACCTAAAATTACAAAGTGAGTTATTGTAAAAAGTTTGCAAATAAAAATTTGGAACTACAACCATGTAAAACAGAATTTGGGGACTGGTACACAACCAAAATAAAATATAAAAATAAACTGCAATTGTTACCCATAGCTCTATAGTTCAAATTTCTGCATTTACCCAACAGAAATTTTTCTCAGTGACAAGTTTTAAAGTCTTACATATTAGAGTTCTGCATAAGAACACTTAGATTTGAGTAAAAGTCCTATTCAATCAATTCTACATCCATATTCTATGCTCTGACAGGTCTATCCCTGTCAGAAAATTAACCAACTGCAATTTTTTTTAAAAAAATGAAAGCAAAGAAAATGCAAAGTCCAAGCAATCTGCTTTCTAACTTGAGATATTCTACAAAAAATACAGTTGGAGAATCCAATGGAGAAACCACTTTAGTTTGGGCCCTCTTTGCATTCCCTAAACACAGGAAGCTGAATACGCCATTATAAGGCGGCTGCCTTATAATAAATGTCATTTAACATAATAAGGCATATGTTAATAACACTGTCAAGTGAAATGAGGACAGATTTTAATGCCTAGAGAGACAGAATATATAAAACTTCCACACCTTTTGACAACAGTTACAGAACAGTTACAGAATTTTATACATATTCTTTCCATCATAGTAATACATCTGATTAAAGGCAAAGATTGAGTTTGTCATAATAACATTGTTTGTGCACTTTTGTACCTCAAACAAGAGCAGAATACAATAAAATAAACATATAAATACTGTTATACAAAGACAGTGTGACAAGTTCCATAGCCAACCAAATCTAAAATGTTAAAAAGTCAGCTTTTGTGGAATACCTGAGTGATTCAGGGCTGTCCCCCACTTTTTTTAGATTAAAAATCCAGCCTATGAGATTATGTAAAAACAGAAAATGTGAAAGGGGCCACTTTATCTTTCTCCCAACTATTTCAAAGGGTAAATGGTGGGGGAGAGAAGAGTAAGTACTAACGAAAAATGTCACAAAACTATAAAGTATTTTAACTATTAAAATACTTTGAGCTGGGTATGGTGGCACATGCCTATAATTCCAGTGGCTGAGGCACGAGGATCAGAAGTTCAAAGTCAGCCTCGGCAAAAGCAAAATACTAAGTAACTTAGTAAGACCCTGTCTCTAAATAAAATACAAAATACAAAATAGGGGTGGGGACATGGCTCAGTGATTGAATGCCCCTGAGTTTAATCCAGGCACTCCCCCACAAAAAAAAACTTTGAAACTATATACAAAAGCATCTAACTCACATTGAGTACTCAATAAATATTAGTAGAACATAAACTTATATAGGCAAGGTTAATCAAAATTTGTCAGGTTACCTTCATCTTATTAATGTCTAACACATTATAGCACCATTAGTTGCTGTTTTTAAATAGACTTTTTAAATTCTGAGCTATATCATTAAACAAAACAAGAACCACATTTTGGTATTATTTTTAAAAATATCATTGCTTTCATTAGCATTCATTTGTTTTAGCATCAAAGAAAATCCTGATCTGTATGCTTTCTGTGTCAGTCATCTCCAAATGACTATCAAACATAACTAATTATCAAGTTCCCCCTATTAACATGATAAAAATTGTAGAAATGGAAATTTTTTGTAAAATTATACAGTAATAAGCACCACCCACCATGATAAGCACCACCCATCTATCTGAAAAACCTGCTCCTCGATCCATCATATTTGAATGATCTAATGACTAAAGAGCTTAAAACTTATCATATAAATTACATTCATTCAAGTTACAGTATTCAGGAGACAATATG